CCTGCTTTTGTTCTGTTTTTCTACTACAAACAATGTTGCAATAAGCATCCTTATAACTGATTCTTCTTTTACATTTGAATAGATTCCAAGATGTGGGATTTTTGAGTTAGGCAGTATATCTATATATCTATCTGAATAGATTATTTTTAAAAGGTTTTTATTCATTCACATCCAACAACAATGTTTGAAAGTCCATTCCGGAGGTCTTCATCCATTCCACCCTGTTTTCTCCTGCATTGAGGTTAGTCTTATTGATTTTTGCTATTATTAAAGATTTAAAAATGGTATCTAATTTGCATTTGTTTAAATTATTTTTTTTGCATTTGTTTAAACTATTATTGGAATTGAGCATCTCATCATGTGTATTTCTTCTTTTAAAGACTCCATTTTTTCAAAGCAATTTTAGGTTAACAACAAAATTTCGAGGTCAGTAGAGATTTCCATTTACCCAATGCCCCCACATTTGCATACATATGTGGTTTGGTTTGGTGTTGATCATTGTCGCTTGTACTCTTTTTTGTGAATTGCCTATTTATATATAGTCTTTATTTATATTGAGTTGTTTACCTCTTATCAATTTGTCGAGCTCTTTGTATGTTTGCAATAAATGCCACAATCTTTTTTTTTTTTAATTTTTATTTATTTATGATAGTCACACACACACAGAGAGAGAGAGAGAGAGGCAGAGAAGCAGGCTCCATGCACCGGGAGCCGGACGTGGGATTCGATCCCGGGTCTCCAGGATCGCGCCCTGGGCTAAAGTCAGGCGCTAAACCGCTGCGCCACCCAGGGATCCCTAAATGCCACAATCTTACCTGTTATAGTAGTGGCAGATATTTTTCTCATGTATTATTTTTTTTTAACCTTTAAAGTTCTATCTTTTGGGGTGCTGGAGTGGCTCAGTGGTTCAGCTCAGGTCATGATCCTGGAGTCCTGGGATTGAGTCCTGCATCCAGCTCTCTGCGGGAAGCCTGCTTCTCTGCCTGTGTCTCTGCCTCTGTCTGTGTCTCTCATGAATAAATAAAATTTAAAAAAATAAAAATCTATCTTTTGTCGTCTGAAAATGTTAAAGTTTTATGTAATCAAGTATGTTTATCTTTTCTTATGTTGCTTCTGAATTTCCCATCTTGCCTAACAGGGAATAAATACTGTTTAGGTTATTTAGAAAGAGAAAAAAGTGAGATGTGAATTTTTTCAAGGTAGTTTCAAAAAAGAAAAAAGTAAAACATGAAGCAGGAGCAGAACTATAGATTTATTTTTTTTTAAGATTTTTTATTCAGAAAGAGAAAAGAGAGAGGCAGAGAAAGAAGCAGGCTCCATGCAGGAAGCCCAACGTGGGACTCAATCCGGGGGCCCCAGGATTATACCCTGGGCCAAAGGCAGGTGCCAAACCGCTGCGCCACCGAGATTGCCCAAAACTATAGATTTAAGTGTTATCGAAGATAAGCAAAGACTGCACTAAAGTTTTACTTTTAATCGGTAATAACTAATAAATAAAATCTGGAAAAAAAAGTCGATAATACACTATGGCAATACGGAAGAGTGCATTGTAAACCGAAGTTGCCTGCAGTTCCTACAGATGTGACCTGGCATTTTGAGGGCGAATGTAGGGATGGGGATGGGGATGAGCAGGGGCCCTGCAGAGTCCAGAAAGTGAACGATGACAACATTTGAGAGAAAGGGTGGTAACCGGTGATTCTCAGTTAGGCCCCTGCCCTCCCGGAGGCTGGGGTTGCTGGAACACACAGTGAAGCCTTGGCAGCCTTGAGTTTTCTCAGACAGCCACTGTGAAGGTAGCTAGGGTCCGCCCAAGGACACCGCTTTGAGCTGCTAGAAAATGTTAGTGTTTTGTGAGAGTCTTTATAGGCTAAGGCCTGCCCAGCGAAGTTTGCGCAGAGGAGCCTGGCTGGACTTTGGTCAAGGAGACAACCTTAGTGTTTAGTCTCCTACGGGGGAGTCTGCTTTTTCGAACAGCGCCGTAGGAATGTTTCCTGTATCGCCTTATTATTGCTCTTCACATTTTCGATAACATTTTTCCTCCGTGATCCTTTTAAAAACCTCCTGGGGCTTCAGGGGCAGTGTTTTTAGAAAGGGCAAGAGCGCGGAATGAGAGAGCCTCTGACCCCCCTTCCACTTCGCTGTCCCTTCCCTGAGTGTCCTTTCAGTAAACTCCTTCCCAAGGTTTCAGCTGCAGCAGTGAAAGCTTCCAAAGCTGACACCCGTGTCAAGGTCACTCACGCGGTCAATCCTCATCAACCAACAAACCTTTATTGAGGGCCTAGTAGGTTAAGGCACTGATAATTACATTGTGGGGATAATGTAGTTTGGAAAAAGGCTTTTTTTTTTTAAATTTTTATTTATTTATGATAGTCACACAGAGAGAGAGAGGCAGAGACACAGGCAGAGGGAGAAGCAGGCTCCATGCACCGGGAGCCCGATGTGGGACTCGATCCCGGGTCTCCAGGACCGCGCCCTGGGCCAAAGGCAGGCGCCAAACCGCTGCGCCACCCAGGGATCCCTGTAGTTTGGAAAAAGGGAAGTAAAAGACACAGAGTTTAGTTCTTTCTTTGTAATTTCTAGATGTAGTGAAAAATGCGGCTTACTCTTCATATTTTTATGTTCTTGACTAGGAGTCTTTATTTCCTGTAGGGTTTGCATCTTGTTCCATTACTACCACCTTCACTCCGTCTTTCTTTCTCTGCTTTATTGGCCTCCTTGCTGTTCCTCAAACATGCAGGTATTCTCTTTACACAGAAAGTTCTTTCCCCAGATACTGACCCCCTCCCTCACTCCCTGCAAGCTTTTGCTCAGATGCTATCCTGCTCAGCGAGGCCTACCGCCACCCTGTTTAACAGTGCAAGCCATTCCTCATTCCTCTTACCCTGCTCTCTATAATACATCATTTGTTTATTCTGATTAACATGTGTCCCTCCACTAGACTGTCTGCCTCATTAAAATAAATTTTTTTAAAAATCCATTTTGTAGGGCACCTGGGTGCCCCAGTGGTTGAGTTTCTGCCTTTGGCTCAGGGTGTCACCCCGGGGTCCTGGGATCGAGTCCTACATCCGGCTCCCTGCATGGTGCCTGCTTCTCCCTCTGCTGTGTCTTTCCCCCTCTCTCTGTATGTCTCATGATTAAAATCTTAAAAAAAAAATCTGTTTTGTGTGGAGGCCGATAAAAATTAAGGCCATCCCACCTAAAGTTTAGCATTAGCACAAGTACAGCCATCTTAGGTCCCTGTGAATGAGAGCTGAACTTTAAGGAGAAAAACTGCAGAATGTCCTCAATGTCCTCGGCAGAGAATCCCATATCAGAAAGACAACAGAGCCCACGCCCCTGGTAGAAAGTCCCATCTTAGAATTCTTCCATCCCTCCTGGAAATCCCCTAGACCAGCCTATAAAAAACCCAGCTGTAACCCACTTCGGGGTCCAAGTCCCTGCTCCGCTGTGTCGGGTATACTTGGACCCAAGCTCGAGCTTGCTAATAAACCCTCGTGCGCTGGCATCGGTGTCGGCTCCTTGGTGGTTTCAGATTCGCAATCTTGGGCACAACATTTCGCACTGATTTTTCTCAAGCACCTACAACACTGCTTGCCACTTAGATATTTGTCCAATGAGTGAATGCTTTTTGCCCCGGGTTTTATACTTCGTCTTTCTACATTCACTCTTTCTTTTTATCTGACTTAATTTTCTTTCCATCCACGCTGTTCTTCATGTTCACATACGGGTTTTTTGTTTTGTTTTGTTTTGTTTTGTTTTCTTTCCTTGGGGGGAGGAGGGTGGAAGTGGGGTATTGTACTTGCAGAATGGGATCTTACGATGCTCATCACTCAGCCACTAGGTTTTCTCACCTAAGGATACCAGGATAGTGTTGTGCCCAAGACTGCGAATCCGAGAAACCACCAAGCAGCCGACACGGATGCAAACACACGAGGTTTTATTTACAAGCTCGAGCTTGGAAGCAGGTCATGCGGGGGTCACACAGGAGGTGGCAGGTGTAGCACAAAATGGAATCAGTCCTGCTCTGCTTGTCCAGGGGTAGGGGATTTTTGTTAAATTTCCTGGGTCCCACAGGTAGGGCCCACATTCTTTTTCATGTTTGCCTAATGTTCTGCTGTGGGATGCGGGCACCTTACGTTTATCCGTATCTGCCACTACTTTTCACCTGGGGCCACCCGCCCATGGTCGCCCTCATTTTCCCTTTTACCGATCGCGCTTCACCCACTCATCTTCCGCCCGACAGTCCCCTGGTCACCCGGCAAGGGCCTGAGCTGTGTGCGTTCTCCCCCCGCGGGAGATGGAAGGGTCAGCGGGGGCGCCAGTGAGGAGCGAGGCTTCACCTGAATACACGGGGTGTGGGGGGTGGGGGGAGCAGGGAGCAGGGAGCAGGGAGCCTCCGCCTCTGGTGGGTCCCTAAGCAGCGCGCGCTCCGGGGCGGGACCGGCTTGGGGGCCCAGTGGGCCAGGCTCGGCGCTGGGGTGCGGGGGTGCGGGGTACCCGGTGGTGGGGTGAGGGGCTGTTGGGGTGCGGATGCGCAGAGGTGTTGGGAGTGAGGGGGTGCTGGGTGCCGGGGTGTTGGGGGTGCGGGGATGGCGGGGTGCGGGTGTGTGTGGGTGTTGGGTGGGCTGCGGGGGTGCTGGGTCGGGTATGGGGGTGCGGGGTGCCGGGGTGCGGGTGGGTGGGGCTGTTGGGTGGGTGCCGGGGGCCGCGGCGGCTCAGGGAGGACTTGGGAGGGGCCCCGTGCTGGACCCGGGGGCGGACCTGGGCGGGCCTGGGGGCGGGGTCTGCAGGGGGCCTGGGCGGGGCCTGTTAGGGGCGGGGCCTGCCGGGAGGGCCTGGGCGGGGCCTATCGGGGGCGGGGCCTGCCGAGGGCTTGGGCGGGGCCTGTCAGGGGCGGGGCCTGCCGGGAGGACCGAGGCGGGGCCTGTTGGGGCGGACCTGGGCGGGCCTCGGGGCGGGGCCTGCCGGGGGGCCGGGGCGGGGCGTGCGGAGCGCGCAGACTCGCGGCTGCGGGCGGAGCGTGGGGAGCCGCCGGCAGACCGCCGCGCTCCGGGAGCCATGGGGCTCACAGCTGGGGCGCTCGTCTGGTCGCCCGTGGGGCTGTGGCTGCTGCTGTGCAGCTGGGGGTGCCCCGGGAGCGCCGAGCTGCGGGCGCCGCCGGAGAAGATCGGTAGGGGGGCCGGGGGCGGCGCGGAAGGGGTGCGGGAGCGCGCTGGCTCCAGGCCCGGCCGGGCGGCGCGCGGTGTCCTCCGCCTAGGTCACCGCCTCGGGGCGGCTGCGGGTGCCTCGGGGGCCGCGCGTGCTCCTTGGGGGGGGGGGCGCGCCTCGCTGTGCGGGTGACGGGCGCGCGGTCCCGGCGGGGGCTGCGCGGAGCCCCGCTCCCGGTCACCCCCGATCGCCCCGTCACCCTCCGTCACCCCCCATCACCCCCGGTCGCCCCCGGTCACCCCCGATCGCCCCCCGTCACCCCCGATCGCCCCCCGATCGCTCCCCCATCACCCCCGTCACCCCCCGTCACCCCCGTCGCCCCCGGTCACCCGGTCCCCGCTGCCGAGCTCCGCCTGCTCGCCCCGGGCCTGCCCTGGGGCCCCTGCACCGCGGAAAACACGCTCTCGAGTGTGGCTCTGGGCTTGGGCCGCGTTGGGCTTGCTCTTCCTCTTCCCCCCGAAGCTTTGTGTTGTGGGGCCGCGAACGCATCGGTGGGGCCGAGACGGGGACAATCTTGGCAAAAATGGCGGCCTCTGCAGTCAGATGCGCGTGGAGGGCCCACGTCTCCCCCGCCGGGGCACGAGGGGTGACGGGGCCCGTGGCGCCTGCCCCAAGCCCTGCGGGAGCCTCTGGGCTCTGGGACCTGCCCCCCCCCCCCCCCCCCCCGTCTAAGGTCAGTCTGTGCCGTAAGGACTCCCACCCCCGCCCCAGCAGTGCCCGTGCCTCCCAGTTCTTCCTTCAGCAGCTGCCCCTCTGTCGGGCTCCCCTGCAGGGGTGACCAAGCACGGAGCCCCACCTGTTACTCAGAACCACAACCCCACAGAGCTGCGTAGGATGGAAAGAAACTTCCTTCCCCCCCCCCCCCATAGCGATTATTGGAGCCGGGATCGGTGGCACTTCAGCAGCCTATTATCTGCGGCAGAAATTTGGGAAAGATGTGAAGATCGATGTGTTCGAAAGAGGAGAGGTGGGAGGCCGCCTGGCCACAGTGACCGTGCGAGGGCAAGAATATGAGGCCGGAGGCTCTGTCATCCATCCTTTAAATCTGCACATGAAGCGATTCGTCAAGGACCTGGGTATGTAATGTCCTAGAGCCAGGCAACTTTCTGTGTGACCCTCCGTGGAAGGTTCATCAGATAGGGAACCGAAAGTTCTGTTAATTGTCTTTTTTGCAGGGAAGGTGGTAAAACTGTTTTCCCCACTGCTGCTAGCGATTAGTACAAGCTCAGTTAGGAGCGGCTGTCTCGGAGCCACTTGGCCGTAACGGGACACTGGCTATCTGTGGCTTCAGTTATCTGGAATTACAGTCCTGGGGCGGCGGTGGGGGTGGTTGCTGTTCCTAGTTCTCAGAGCTCTGGGTTCATGTTGAAGAAGCAAAGAATGCTGTGGCTTCGCAGAAACCTTGCGTGCTCGTTTTACAGCTGGGAAACTGAGGCCCAGGCATGGGTGCAGACGTGTGCTCCTGTGTGCACACGTCTGCACCCACACTTGTGCTGGAACCTGGGCCAGCTGACTGCTTCCCTGCCAGCAGAGGAGCTGGGCAGGCTGTGGGGGAAGTCGGGCAGGCCTCTGCAGGCCCTTTGCTCAGGGAAAATGGTGTAATTTTTGCCTCCTTCCAGTTATCTGAAATGAGCAAAATAGGATTCGCACGGGAATGGGGGTGCCTCCTTTCCCTTTGCTGCCTCCACATCTCATGGATGCTTCCTGGGCCTCTTTCCTCCATGAGGGCCACAGGATGCCAGGAACAGTTTGTGCGGCAGATATTCACATCCCACGTTTCTGTTTTTTTGTTTTGTTCAAGATTTTTTATTTATTTATTCATGAGAGACACAGAGAGACAGAGAGGCAGAGCAGAGGCAGAGGAAGAAGCAGGCTCCATGCAGGGAGCCCGACGTGGAACTCGATCCCAGGTCTCCAGCATCAGGGCCTGGGCTGAAGGCGGCGCTAAACCGCTGAGCCACCTGGGATGCCCTGTTTTGTTCTTTTAAGTTGAATTCAGTTGGTATTCTGACCTTTTCCTTGGACTTTTTAGTCTTTTTTTTTTTTTTAGTCTTTTTCAAATAAAAATAGCCATTCTGATTTTGATAATCTGCATGACCAGCTGACCAGTCTTTTAGAGATCTGCTTTAGGACGGTGAGGTGAATGAATACGGTGTTACACACTGTTTTAAAGATAGAGCTTTGACAGAAGCGGGGGAAGCCCCGAATTCACACACTCTATAGAGGGCCCGTCATGGCCTAGATGACACTTTCTTTCATTTGCTCCACAGAGAAACCACTGAGTTTAGCTAACCCTTTCTCTGTCTCTGCAGGTCTGTCTACTGTCCAGAGCTCTGGCGGCCTAATGGGGGTGTATAATGGAGAGACTCTGGTGTTTGAGGAGAGCAGCTGGTTTATAATGAACATGATTAAACTAATTTGGCACTATGGATTTCAGTCCCTCCGGATGCACATGTGGGTAGAAGATATACTGGACAAGTTTATGAGGTAATTTTTCCCCCTTCCGTTTACCCTACGATCTTTCGGTTAGATGATCTTTAGGAATTTTAGTTTCTTGAAACAGTTTTCTACCTAATTGTAAGGCCTGTTTGTCAGATTGTTTGGTAAATGGTTTGTATAAAATAAGCAGACCGTTTATATCCACTTGAAAATTGAAAGAGGGATCCCTGGGTGGCGCAGCGGTTTGGCGCCTGCCTTTGGCCCAGGGCGCGATCCTGGAGACCCGGGATTGAATCCCACATCGGGCTCCCGGTGCATGGAGCCTGCTTCTCCCTCTGCCTGTGTCTCTGCCTCTCTCTCTCTCTCTCTGTGACTATCATAAATAAATAAAAATTAAAAAAAAAATTTAAACCGAGGTACTAAATTCCAGCACCGTTCCAGTTAGTGAGAATACAGGTGCCACTTTTTCTTCTTTGTTTTTCTGTATTTTCAAATTTTTCTGTGTGTGTTGCTATGGTAATTGGGAAAAATAACATAAAATAACAAGTCTAGCTTTGGAAGATATAGGCTTTTTTTTTTTTTAAGGCTATTGGCATGTGCTAATTTTTATGCTGGTTTACAATTTTAGATGCTGGAGAAATTGAATTTGTAAGTGCTAATTATATTTCATTTACTGTGAGTTTCTATGTAGTAAAATAATTGTTAAAAAGGTAAAATTCTATGTCCTATGTGACCACGTATTGACAAGGACAGATATAAGGATTGAGGAGGATAAATATAGTCTAGTTTTTGTGACTTATGGTAATTTGGGATTTCTCTTTTTAAACATCCTTGTTAGGTCAGTTCCTCAAACACTTTCCCAGTGGGCACATTAAAGTCAGCTACAGTACAGATTGTTTTAGTCATTCATTCATTTTTTTCGTTTATCAAATATTGACTGTTAGGGGCCAGGCACTATTCTGGGACCTGAGGATGTGGAATCTAGAATATGTCCCTGTACTCAAAGAATATACATTCTAATAGACAAGCAATAAACCAATAACTAAGAAATATGTAGAATTTGCGTAGATATAGCCAGTCACTTTGTCAAGAAGGTAGGTGGCATGTAGCTGCATGCTCAGCAGGAAAATCAGGTTCAGATGGTATCAGATACAGCCCTGTGTGTGTGTGTTTAAGTTTTATTACCAGTAGCTTGCCTGACATGTAGAGAATTGCCCTGTGAGAGATTAAAAAATTACTTTTCAAGTGATTTTTGGATATTGTAGAACTGTGAAAAATATGTAGGGATGGGATACAGATTCTTCTTTTTTTTTCTTTTTCTTTTTTTTCCCAGTAAACTCTACGCCCAATGTGGGGCTTGGACTCTCGACCCCAGAGATTAAGAGTCACATGCTCTATGGACTGAGCCAGTCAGTGCCCCAGGATTATACTATTTTTTATTTTAAAGTTTATATTTTTAGTAATCTCTACACCCAGTGTGGGGCTTGAACTCACAACCCTGAGATCAAGTGTCACATATTCTTCTGACTGAATCAGCCAAGTGCCCCCATTTTTGATTTTAGAAAACAGTTCCCCTACTTTATGGGATTATTGCCTCCCTTTGGTCTGTCTTTGATATTTGATTATACAGCACGGATCCTTATGTTGTTCAAAGGGCCACACACCCTACATTTCTGTTTCAATAAATCAAGAACATAAAACTCTTATTTTGATAATTTTATCAGATCCTATGAGAAAGTTGGAGAGAATGCTGGTATTGAGCCAGGTTGTGCCAGTGGTTAAAGTAGTTAAATACTGCTGGACGAGGGACATAGCTGTTGCCCTGTGTGACGCCATCCTCCCTTTCTGCCTCCTCTCCAAACCCCCTCCCCTGCCCCCAGTAGGGAATCTTGGCTCAGTTCCAGTGCTGTCATCTGTCTACTTTCTGTTTAATGCTGTACCAACTGTTAAATAAATAAATAAATGACTCGAGTAATAAGGGGGGTTGGGGTGCCAATCCCTGCATAGTTGAAAATCTGTGTATAACTTTGACTCCTTCAAGACTTAACTGCTCATAGCCTGCTTTTGACAGGAAGACTTACTAAGAACATAAACAGTGAAGGAACACATGTTTTGTATGTTTATTTTTATTTTTAAATTAAAAAAATTTTTTGTTAAAGATTATATTTATTTATTCATGAGAGACACACAGAGAGAGGCAGAGACACAGGCAGAGGGAGAAGCAGGCTCCACGCAGGGAGCCCGACGTGGGACTTGATCCTGGAACCCCAGGATCACGCCCTGAGCTGAAGGTGGCGCTAAACCACTGAGCCCCCCGGCGTCCCACATGTTTTGTATGTTACGTCTCATTCTTACAGTAAAGTAAGCGGGAGAGGAGAAAATGTTATTAAGAAAATCATAAGGAAGAGAAAATACAATGGTGGTACTCCACTGATTTTATCTGAAAACAAAAACAAAACCAGAACCTACTTGTAAATGGACCTGTGCAGCTCAAACCTGGGTTATTCAAGGGTCAGCTCTGTTGGTAATATCACCCCGTGTTGGAGATACTCTGGGGTGTTGCAGAAATCAGAACTGGGAACTACAGAGGCTGCCAAAGAGCAGTCTGGACCAACAGATTCCCCTGCATTTCAGTAAAGCAGTAGTTCTCCACCCTGGCTGCACATAGGATTCACGTGGGAATCTTTTTTTTTTTTAAATATTTTATTTATTTGAGAGAGAGAGAGAGAGAGCGCGAGCCCGTGCACGCCTGCATGCACGTTGGGTAGGCAGAGGGAGATAGAGAACCTCAAGCAGATGCCCCGCGGAGTGCACAGCCCGTTACGGGGCCCTCAGTCTCACAACCCCAGGATCACGACCTGAGCTGAAACCAAGACCTTGACACTCCCCTGAGTGAGCCACCCAGGCGCAGTGGGATGACTTCTGGTTATTTAGATGGGCCCAGTGTCATCAGAAGAGTCCTTACAGGAGGGGGGTGGAAGGATAGAATGAGTAGTAGGAAATGTGAGGATGGAAGCAAGAGGTTGGGATGCTAGAAAGGTGCCACAGGTCAAGGAATGCAGGTGGTTTATAAAAACTGAAAAAGGCAAGAAAATGGATTCTTCCTCGAGCTTCCAGAAGGACCAGCCTTGCTGACACCTTGCCTCTACGACCCATTGAGATTGACTTTGGTTTTCCAACCTGCAGGCCCATGAGATAATACATTTGTGTTGTGTAAGTCCCTTAGTTTGTGGTAATTTGTTACAGTAGCAACTGGAAGCTAATGTACCTCCTGATTCACCTCCCTGCTTTGGCCCGTGTGCCACCACTGTCTGTTTTCAGCCTGGCAGCCAAAGAGGTGTTTTTAAAATCTATGAGTCATCATTACTTCTCTGCTCAGAAACTTTCAGTGGCAAAATAGAAGCACCCTACGAGCCAGCCATTGCACTACGAGGTATTTATCCAAAGGATACAAAAGTGCTGGTTCCGAGGGGCACCTGCACCTACTAATAGCAGCACTGTCAGCAATAGGCACATCAGGGGGAGAGCCCCAACGTCCATCGACAGGTGAATGGATAAAGATGTGGGGGTGTGTGTATGTATATATCCTCTATCTATCTCTCTCTATCTATCTATCTATCTATCTATCTATCTATCTATCTATATAGTGGAATGTTACTCAGACATAAAAAAAATGAAATATAGCCACTTGCAGCATATGTGGATGGAACTAGAATGTATTATACTAACTGAAATAAGAAAAGACAAGTATCATGATTTCACTCATAGAATTTAAGAAACAAAACAGATGAATATAGGGGAGAGAAAGGAAAAATAGAATGAGATAAAAAGAGAGCGGGAGGCAAACCATAAGAGGCTTTATAGTTAACAGAACAAACTGAGGGGTGCTGGTGGGAGGTGAATGGGGGGATGACCTAAGTGGGTGATGCGTATTAAAGAGGGCAATTACTGGAACGAGCACCAGGGTAGTCATATGTAAGTGATGAGTCACTAAATTGTCCTGAAACCAATACTACACTATATGTTAACTAACTTGAATTTAAATTAGAAAAGTAAACTTTCAGTCGCCCTCGATTTCATGCGGAGTAACGGCCAAAATCTGCAGTGGTGTGGAAGACCTGACAGGACATAGGTAATCCTATCTCCTGATTCTTTATTTCCTCTTTGTTAGGGGCCGAATGACGCCCACCCCCCTCACGTGTTGAAGCCCTAACCCCCTGTACCTCAGAGTGACTGCATTCGGAGATGGGGTTTTTAATGAGGCGATTAAGTTACAGTGAGGCCTTTAGGGTGGGCCCTGGTGGATGTGGCCGGCGGCCTTATAAGAATAAGAGAGAAGAGCCCAGGGGAGACACCAGGGACGTGGGGGATGTGAGAAGGAACCCCGTGGGGACACGACGACCAGGTGGCCACGATATGCCAAGGAGACGGGGTCGGGAGCCTCAGGGCCCCGGTGCTGGGATTTCAGCCTCCCGGGTGGGGAGTGCCTTCCTGTTGCTGCGGGCCGCTGGGCCGCCTGGCCGTGCCCCCGTGTGGATGTGGGGCATGGGAGCCGTCTCCACCCGTGTTAGGGCCCGCTCCCCCGGGGCTGCCGGCTCGGTGTGGGCAGGTGTGCGTGGTTAGAGCTGATAGGACTTCCCCACACTCCAACCCTCTCATCGTCCTGTCACGTCCTTCTTTGCCTCTGGTAACAGCTTTTGTCTTCAAGGCTCCGTTCTCTGGTACTCTTGTGGCCAGCTGCCCTTCGGTTACTGTTTGTGTCGCATATCTTTTTCCATCTTTTTGCTTCCAACCGATTTCTATCTGAATCTGAAGTGTATTTCTTTTTTTTTAAAAAAAGATTTTATTTATTCATGAGAGACACAGAGAGGGGCAGAGACACAGGCAGAGGCAGAAGCAGGCTCCATGCAGGGAGCCCGACGTGGGACTCGCTCCAGGGACCCCGGGGTCACGCCCTGGGCCGAAGGCGGGCGCTGAACTGCTGGGCCACCCGGGCGTCCCTCTTTAAGCATCTAAAGCACATGTACATGTGCATGTTTTTTTGGCTA